AGGTAAACGGATAGCCTTCTGAATAAATGCTGAGCGGAAGCGCACTGCACCGGGGATGTGCTGAAGACCTGCGTACGTCGACTATGCAAAAGACCACAACAAAGTCGTGTAAGGACTACTGATGAGCCGAAGACATTGCGGCGTACCCTGGTGGACGAGAATGAGATCTCTGCAGAATACGCTGGACACACCGGAAGATTGGGCGGCAGTAAAACTGTCAATCTTTTGATTCAGTACTAATATATGGGCAGGACATTGAGCGAAACTTCGTATTCCATGGGTGGCCGACTGACAACGCGTACGAGGTTTGCACCGCAATGCTGAGACGAAACGACAAATTGTCAGCACAGGCTTACAAGTCATCATAAGTTACGGGCCATGGCTCAATTTTCGTAAAACCGTACTGTAGCTACCAACAATGTTCATCTGACCAGTCCAGAGTCGGTGTGCTTTCCATGCACGAAGAGCGCTCGCAGACAGATACAAGCATCGAAGAGCATCGACACCAGATTAGGAAATTTATTATTGACCAGTGCGTCCAGCATGACATAGTTGCCCATGAATAAGCCCACAATCATACGGGCATGGTCCGTCTTTATGGGAGATCACAGAAGCCTGAAGTTCTGTAAAACCGGCTATTTAGGGAGACTCTCCTCTCCAGCAGTTTTTGTGCGATACACAGTGACAATGTTATAGCACCAAAGGTTGAGACCTTTAGGAGGCTACTCGACATGCAGTAGTGGGATAGCCTGGATACGTGGGAGTGTGAGCCTGAACAGGTCGGGTGTTTACCATGGACACTAGCAATCCCACTAACTAGCTATTACATTATCCCTAGTTGGTGCAGAATGGAGCTGACATGGATCCGTAAATCTACTCGTCTCATCAATTTGGAACTGTATCATTTCCTAGTTATGTGGACCAGTATCAGCGTCCTTAGTAGTTCCTGGTGAGACTCGCGGGGGGATAGGATACTATGGTGAGGCTCATCAATACCACTAATGACATCTACAACTCCGTACACCAGAGTAAAATGAAGGGCTCTGAATGCGATTAATGTCATCTACTATTATCTCATGTTCGCGTATGGATTTTGTGTACATAAACGGATTGGGTAAAAAAGGCACAAAGGAACGGGAACAAGAATGCGACCTACCCATCCCCATAAAGCTTTACCGACATGTCTTGCCATATTGGGAGAACCAGACCAATAGTTGCCTGATGATTAGTGATATCAACACCCAACACCGCTGACTCTTCAGTGCCTTGTTTACCATTTGTGGAAATGACACAACAGTATCGGTGTCGATGAGGTCGAGGATATTCGGTTTGCAAACGTACAGCCTAAAGAGTAATAAGATCAAAAACATACATACCAGCTGGACATAGTCCTCGAAACGTAACAAAGCAAGAATTCTCTTTAGATGATCCTGAATATCATCTGGTTTATTATGTCAGCAATATGGGTAAAACCAGTACCGTTGGGTTTTATGTGACTTGAACGTCTCCGCGATCTGACATTCAATCCCACAGCAGTAGCTTTGCACATCAAGAAATCCTCACTTTGGCTGAGCGACACTTAGGAAACACAACGACTTACCTGCTCTTTGATGAATTTTCAAGCGCATCCTGAACGTTAGCTGCCTTGTCGGAGTCCTGACAATAACTTGCTGAGGAACTAGAGCTTACGGAGGAATGCGCAAACAAAGAGCGGTCGATAGTTATCAGTGACATCGTCCGAATTAAATCAGAACGAAGTGTGTTTTATACTAGACCATCGCAACACGGAAGACACACCTGAAGGCCAGTCGAAGTTCCAACAGCTGATTGGTTGCATGCCAGAAATGAACATCAAGTCAAGGTCACAGCCTCAGACCACATTTCTAAGGGATACCTGGAGTAGCTTAAAAGATTCTAGCAGGCCTTTAAAAATGAAGGATATCTGCAGTGGAATCAGCATTAAATGCTCGGATTTTCATCCTTGAAACTACACAAAGGAATGCTATTTTATCCAGCAAGCAAAATAATCTGCCAAGCACCGGAAATCGCATAGATTGCCAGGTTGAGGGAAATCCAATGACACATGCACGCTGTTCTGCAGACATTTCGGTGATACGCATTCGAGTCTGATGCCATCTTGTTTTTTGCTCGGACTTGAGGTCTATGGACAGCCTGCAGCTCGGGGTGGCGCTATGGACACCCTGCCTCGCCCGATCTCACAGTAGATCCACGTTCCAAGATAACTGTCATCGCTGTGTTATTCCGCTATGCTTCTGCTTTACAGAAAGTCTAAGCCACAACGATTTAGGACTTTTTTTGATCCGTATACCCCCTCAGGCTACACAATATGGCATTAATAATGCGTCCACGACGTTTCTTCTAGCGACGAGCAGATGACTACCAAACTGTCTTCCGGCCATCTGGGCTGAGGGCATCCACAGTTGTGACACTGCTAAGTCAGAAGCCAGAATGCTTCTCCAGCCCCATAACAAACACTGCCGGCTTGCAATCGGACTCTGCAGCCAAAACCTGTTTAGGATTCCTAACCTTTTTAATATTAAGCTGTACCCACCACGAATGTGCAAAACCTGCATATAAACGTATTCCTCCAAACAATGACTTCGTTACTTCGGCTTTTTTGCTTTATGCATTGGGTGGGCTCAACAAAAACACGATATGTCCAGCGTCTCCCCTCCACAGTCACCAGTGAAGTCAGTTTATCACTCAAACTTATACACATGTCATCCGAGCGACCCGGGTGGTTACTATCTTCACAATACCATGCATACAATTTGCTTCGCATTCGCTGTTCTAAAGTTCTTTACATCTCTTCATTTTACTATTTGGCTTTCGAATCTGACGGCAAATTATCCAGAAAGCTTCACTGCGCACACTTGATACTTTCGGTGTGAACGTTTGTAGTTTTCAAAAATAGGCACTTAAGTAGTATAGCTAAGCATATGGCGACTTCTAACCCTGGACGCTACCAGCTACAAACTTTAGATAATTTCGCAATCAGCACGACCGGGTATTGATGCAGACGAATCTATCAAGTCAAAAAGGTGGATATTTCCCTGACTGATTGCCCGGGAACTAGCAAGTGCATGCGTCTACACTGTCCACCCACAGAAAGATTAGAAATGTTGAACAACAGTGAATACAATTTGATCGCACCGCTGTAAGCTGCAGATGGATAAGCCAAGCTCTTGACTGCACGTTATTTTGGAGTGTACAGCTAAATTCAGACTTGTATCTGTGAGGCGCGAGTACTTGCGAAGCTGAGGAACGGGCTATCCAGCTAGCTGTATACATTCTTCGCTTTATAAAAGTTACAAAAGCGCCCCGTAGTCCAATGCTAACTGTGTGGCGATTTGTACCTTAATTTTGCCTCCACTATAACATTACGTATTTTGTCAGTTGCAT